AATCCAGCACATAACAGCGGGGTGCAAGATGCTAGCAGGCAGGGCATACATGGAACGCCATAACCAAGTGGCTGGCATAGTGTACAGAAACATCTTTACTTAAATAAGTAAAAAAAAAAAAGTTTCAAATATTTTGCATATCTCTTCATTACAGATAAGTTATCTTCCATTTTCTTTACCATTCTCTGTATGTTTGTCTCATGATAATTGATTTTCTATGATAATACCCTAAAGTTTCTTCTTTAACCTGCTGTATTAACATATTTATGCTAAGGTCAGACTGCGGTCTTGAACTTAAAGAGGGTGTGTGTGTGCGTGCCTGTTCGCATGTGTAATGAGGGCCTCCCATCCTATACAGCCAGCCATCAATACAGTATGTTAATTTTCTCCAAAATAACTTAGTGCTGACCTCTGCCTGTAAACCACTGCTCTCCTTACTTATTATAAAAGGAAGTGAGTACTACAGAGAAAGTTTCTTATATAAAATACCCCAAATAGCCTATCAAAGCAAAGTTAAAATCTGGCATGAAGGGATGATGCATCGAATATTTGCATGCATCTTTTGATTTGGCTCCACTGTAACAAGGTCCAGATGTTCTAGTGAACCAGGGCCCATTTTAAAAAAGGAAACACAAACAAATGAAACAGTAACAAAGGTGATGTGAGAGAAAGCAGGTAATGTTTGTACATATGCATAATTTGTGATATGATTGTTGTATTCAGTCATTTGTATCCTTTTTTGAATGTTCTTCCTGTCCCTGTGCAGGTTATCTCCAGGTACTCTGGCTTTCTTCCAGAGACACGTAGCTTAGGTTGGTGACTCTAGGAGTGAGTGTAGATTAGGGTGATTCATCAACAATAGGGTTTTAATAAAAGGTTAGATATACAGCAAGACACATGGTGCTTTGTTTCCACAGCAGACTGTGAACCTTTGTGCAAAATCTCATCTGGATTCAGTAACATTTACAGGTTTCCCAAAATGTCAACCTGCCTTGGGTATCTGAAATTCTCTACATTTCAGGCTGTTGAATTCATGTTGCTGCATCAAATTATGTAATACTATGCACAATATATATTAATTATAAAGCTTCATATAATACAACTATACATACATTATATGTCTCCTCTCTCCCGTAGTGTGTCCTCTCTCTCTCCCTGTACCTTTCTGCAGGTTGCCCTGGCTCTGGAGCTCTGGAGCCGAGGTCTGTCAGAGGTTTCTTCCATTAAACAGAGTTTTTCCTCCCCACTGTTGCCAAGTGCTTGCTGGGTTGGGGTTTCCCTCTAATAATAGTGATAACAGTAAGTAAGTTTACTTTGTAAAGTGTCCTGAGATGACTTTTGTTGCGATTTGGCGCTATAGAAATAAAATTTGATTTGATACATTAAATGTAACCATAATGCCATTTGTATTCAATGTTCAATATTCAATTCAGTGTTGCTGTCAGGGACATGACTGTAATCAACGACACTGCCAAATGTGCGCTCACCCTTACAACAAATCTTAATTGTTTTACAAGAGATGAGTCTCAAATACAGCACCTCATGAAGGTTGTTGCAAAGCATCGCAATAATATGCCATCAGTTGTGAAATGTGTAATCCTTTTAACTGAAAAGGACTGTACAGTTACTTCAGTTCATTAATGTGATGTTTTTTGTGTTTCTGCTTTATTATTAGTATTGAGTGGAGCAGATGTATGACTGGATACTGATTTAATGGTAAACTGCAAACAAGTGGTTTAATCAGGTGTGAAGCATTTTTGGGGAACCTCTAAATTTGGGAGGTAAAATTTTGTCCGTGCATTTTCTTTTAGTAATTGGTACAAAATTTTGACCTAAATCAAATTTTGGATTTTGGATCAGGTGGCATGGTGATGCAGTGGTTAGTGCTGTTGCTTCACAGAAAGGAGGTTCTAGGAGTTTGCATGTTCCCCCTGAGCCTGCTTGGGTTCTGTCCGAGTACTCCGGCTTCCTACCATAGTACAAAGACGTGATTTAGGTTGATTGGTGGCTCTAAATTGCACATAGGAGTGAGTGTGGGTATGTGTGGTTGTCTGCCAACATGCCAGCCCTGTGATAGACTGGCGACCTGTCCAAAGTGTACCCTGTCTCTCACCTAATGTCATCTGGGATTGTTTCCAGCACCCTGTGAACCTATTCAGGAATAAGCAGTATAGATAATGGATGGATGGATGGTCCTTAGGTGCAATAGGGAGCTTTAACAATACTCTGCTGCCATCATGTGGCAGTGAGCATTACTCACACCACCACAACATCTATGAGACGCCATCTGTTGTCAGTGTTTCCATGGCAGGAGGCTTCTGTGAGAACAGCTGAGGCAAACAACAGATCGGAAAAGCTGCAGAGTGAACAACAGAACAAACATGAACAGCCTCCTCTCCAGGTAGGACTCTATACTTTTGTATTTCACATTACAAAGATAGAAGATAATATGTAGGTGGTTTTTCTTGGACAATAGTAACTGCCGAGAAACTTGTTAATAAGCTGCTGAAAAAACATAGAAGAAGGCATCTGGACAACAATGTCTTCTGATGACCGAGTTGTTAGGGTGTGGTATTGGTGAGAGTAGTTACCCATCCTTTTAACCCTTCCAACTAGATTTGACGATTTTAAATTTCTACCCAAACATTTCCAACCAAATTCAAACCAGGACAATAGGCGTCAGGCCACATGTGAGGGGTCAAAGACGGGTAACGACTCTCACTGATACCAGACCCTAATGGCTTGGTCATCAGAGGACATTGGAACTCCAATGACTCAGTCGTTAGGGGACCTTGTTGGCCGTGGAAGGACTGAAATGCCATCCAGTGGGATAAATACCTCCTGCTCACCACCAGTCGGGCAGAACTGATGAAGCTTCCTGGATGAGAGGTGAAACATCTTCTACCTAAAAACTACGTCCCAGTGCCTTCTTCTAAGTTTTTTCAGTGTACTACGACCTGGATGACTGAGAATTTGCATGGACTTGGTAATAAGCTAATTTATTCCCAACATGTTACAAAGTAAACACAAATAAAACATCCTCATGCTACTTTTTTTCCTACTGATCTGCCCCAGCAGGGATGCCCAGCTAAAAAGCATGGAGCAGACGGTAAAACATGCTGACAAGTACCTGGGTGAGATCTGCTCCCTGCTGGCTGCCTACACCAGGAAGTCAGCCAAGCTCAGAGACAAGGCCGACCTGCTGGTAGCTCAGCTGTTTGATTTCTCAGGCACAGAGGGCCCCGAGCTCCAGACTGGCCTCAAAAACCTGGCAGAAGACCTGTCCATGGTTCAGGACTACAGGCAGGCTCAGGTCCAGGGCATTGTAGTTATCCATGCACATTCTACTCTATTCAGTATGCAGTTGCTGTCATGATGACCGTTTTGTTGTTGCAGGTAGAGAGACTGGAGATGAGAGTTGTGGCTCCTCTAAAAGCCTATGGAGACATAGTCAAAAATAAAAGAGTAAGTGTGATTAAAGATGTGCACTAGCAATACTGATATATCTGCAAGGAGCTAATATATTAGTTGATAATATTGGCTCACATTTAAGACATCTACAGTAACTATTACACGTGTGCCAGGCACAGACAAAATGATGCTCACGCTTCATGCAAAAGGACTAACTCAAGAATGTGTCCTCTAGAGTGGAACTGTCATTAGTAAGTATTGGACAAATTAGAAATGTGTCTTTATGCTGGCACCGGGGAACAACTCAGAGGATCACCACAGTTACTGAGATGAATCCTCTGGGGATTATAAATGTCTATACCAAAATTTGTCCAGTCCATTCATTAGATGTTGAGAAATTGGAAACTTTGCCCAGCTAGTGGAACTAGGGGGAAAGTCAGAGAATCACTGAAGTCTTTGAGATTTAGAAAATATGAATTTTTCTACAAAATCCCATGGCATATATAATATATATATAATACACAGTTTCTAAATCATCATTTAAAAAAGTCTTACATTACCAGTATGATACATATGCCTGGCTCATTTATCAGTGGGCTCCTAATCAGCATAATGACATCATATGTCAATGCCTTCCAAAACTGTAACAAATAAATGTTATAAAAGTGACATGATTATTTGCCACTGACATGCTTAAGATTTGGTTCAATTTAGTAACAGGAGCTGGCTGAACATAATTAAGAGAAACAACTCTTTGGGATTCACAGTGCTGTTGTGTGTCATAGCCACAGGCTCTGATGACCTAAACCAACCATCCAGGTATTTTATAGCACTACAGTGTCACTCCATGGTTCCTTGACTTTCACCTTGGCTCCATTTATCATAATTCACACAACCTCTATAATGTAGGATCATGGGATCAGCACACCAGTGTATTTATGTTTGTGTGCTGCGTGTTTGGCAATTCACTAGACCCCTTTGTCCAACCATTGCCACCATAGCCCCAGGTGAATGCCCCAGTCTTCTTAACATGGGATAGATAGATGGCTTCCAGAGTTTACACTCCATAAGGGTTCTGGGGCTGTACTTGGTCTGGGACCTGCTTTAGGTGGTCTTACCAGGAGCTATTGTCCCTGACAAAACAGCTCCTTGGGTCGCGAGTGCACAGTAACCCCTCAACCATGTTAAGGTGGTCATTCTTAGATACGAGGTAAAGTGAGCATAGGTGATTTTAGGCATTTCATCAAGCAAGCAGTGATTCTTTTGTCTTCCGTAGACATTGTTACACATAAACACAGCACATGACAAAGACCATTGGTTTGTGTATTGTGTCAGCAGTGTGAGCTAACAGTGTGTCTACCATTCAGGCAGATCTGAAGAAGTTCAGCACTGATCTGAACAGAGAGCTGAAGGAGCTACAGAAACTGGAAAAACTCAGACTGAGGAACCCAGCAGATCGACAGAGCATTGTATCCTTCATAAACAGACATCTGACTCTTTTTATCACCGCGTTTCCATCCATCCATCCATCCATCTTCATCCACTTAACCGAGACTGGGTCACGGGGGCAGTAGCCTGAGCAGAGCTTCCCTCTCCCCACACACCTCCTCTAGCTCCTCAGGAGGAACCCCAAGGCGTTCCCAGGCCAGCCAGGAGACATAGTCTCTCCAATGTGTCCTGGGTCTGTCTGCCCTGAGGCCTTCTCCCGGAGGGACATGCCTGGAATACCTCCCCAGGGAGGCATCCAGGGGGAATCTTAAACAGGTGCCCGAGCCACCTCAACTGGTTCCATTCAACATGGAGGAGCAGGAGGGCTCTACTCTGAGCTCTGCACCCTATCCCTAAGGGTGCGCCCAGCCACTTTCCAGAGGAAACTCATTTCTGCTGCTTGTATCCATGATCTCATTCTTTCGGTCATGATCCAAAGTTCATGGCCATAGGTGAGGGTAGGAACGTAGATTGACTGGTAAATTGTGAGCTTCGTCTTATGACTCAGCTCCTTCTTCACCACAGCGGACCGGTACAGAGACTGTATTACTGCGGACGCCGCACTGATCTGTCTGTCAACCTGCCACTCCATTTTTCCCTGACTCGTGAACAATTAATCACCACATATTCATGATAAATTTGTTTTATTGATGTATTAATCTCAATGCCATAGTGCTTAACTGGCTTCACATCAAGAAAGCATATAGCTTATAAAAATAGTGTATAATGTTTATCCACTGATCAGCCATAACATTATGACCACTGTCAGATGAAGTGTGTAAGATTGATTATCGCATTACAATAGCACCTGTCAGTGTGTGAACAGTCAGTTTTTGAAACAAACAAGCATAAGGATCTGAGTGACTTTGACAAGGGTCAAACTGTGATGACTGACAACTGGATCAGAGCATCTCCCAGACTACAGGTCTTGTTGGGTGTTGCTGGTTTGCAGTGAACTGGCAACAGGGTCATGGATGCCCAAGGTTTACCGATGAGGAGGTTGACCTACGAGAGTGACAGGAGTGCCAGTTGACTACCACGTTGACTCCTGTGTGCACATTATTAGGCAAATTGTTATAATGTTATGGCTGATTGGTGCATATCTATACAAACATTTTGATCATATGGTCATTTTACTGTTAATGTGATTAGTATGTAGTTAGTATATAGTATATGTGACTTTGCATATCATCCATGTTGGTGAGGGACAAATGCAATTTAAATATAAAGCCATATATCTGTTTTATTTCTTTCTTTCTTTTTGGACATTGTACGTTATATTACTGTCACATATAGTCATCATATGTTAAAAATGTTTGAGAATATTTTCTTGACTGGACCTTTCAGTCTCAGGTAATGTAAATGACTTTATTATTATTTTATGAATATCATCCCATTATCCAGCAGCTCATACAGATGCTGAGGTAAAGCTTTGTTATTGCATTTTGTGTTAACTTACAGGCAGAAGTAAATCTTCAAAAGTCTTCCAGTAAAGTCCAGCACAGCAGCAGACAGCTAGAGGACACCATCACAGAGTTCCAGAAACAGAAATTGGAGGATATCAAAGTCAGTCAATCACACACACAGAAGTGTTTGAATTTCTACATACTGTATAGTTGTGAGGAAACCTGTTGACATGATGCCCCTTACCCTAATTTTAACCTAACCCCAACCCTACCCCTAACCTAAGCCAAATTCTAACCTTAACACACACACACACCCTGTGCATTCACATCTTCCAGGAGGTAAAGCATTACATTTTGACTGACAGCAACCTTTGTTTTTTCGGCAGAGGGTTTTCATGGATTTCATCACAGTGGAGATGCTTTTCCATGCTAAAGCGCTGGAGGTCTACACACACACATACCACAACCTGGAGGCAGTGAACACCCAAAAGGATCTGGAGGTAGCTTGCATTTTGACATAACCCAGCATTTTCATTAGGTAGAAAGAAATGAAAATTAATTTTCCTCCAGAAGCAATTTTGAGCCATTTCCTGGTTATATTATACATATTTTAGTTTTCTTTGTCATCTAGAACCAAACAAGTTGTGCGCCACAGTGAAGGAGGGTTTTATGTAAAACAAATTTAACAGATAAACATAATCATCACTGTGTAGCTAAAACATAGTCTATGTTTAGACAACAAAATATGACAAATTGTTAACCAACATCCAACAAGATTGGACTGATTGTTGTCCAGGTTTCATGCTGAGAAATCATGAAGGTGGACAATACTGTACTCTGAATAGGAATCCCCCTGATATTTACAACACACAGTATAAAAGTAGACAGTCATAACTGAAGTTTCAAGCTTCACTTTCAGGTGATATTTTCAAGGAAAACTAAAAGCCTCTGTCCTGTTTTTGGAGTAAGCATTGTCAGTACTGTCATCCTGTCTCCACAGCTGTTTAGTGGGCGGATCAAGATGTCTGACTCTGCGCATGTGGACAGCCCACTGAGCAGCCGCTCTTCTCCCCTCATGAGCCGCTACCCCAGTCCTCTTCTGGCTTCCCACAGAGGCCAAAGCTTCAGGCCAAAGCAGGTCTTTGCCCCAGGCCAAAACCAGAGACAGCAACACAGCCAGTACCCGGAGGCAGCCAGGAGCGTAAGCCCCACTGTCTTTGTTACTATAGTGACCGAATTTTTGCTAAGAATAACAGTGTATTCACACATACAGATACAAAGCAGCATTGTCTGTCCTCTCATGAATCTGTAGCTCTGAGGGTGTTGTATTGAGTAGGCAAACCACTTGAAATTTCCAGTTTTTTTCCAGGTTTTTGTGATCAGATGTCATCTAAATCACAAGTATAGAGGAAAACATACAAACAAATATATTTCTTGGAAGTGTGGCCTTTTATTTAAAAGTAGGTTGCAGAGGCAGACAGGAAACATGGGGAGATAGAGAGGAAGAGAGGAAAAGACATGCAACCCAGATCCTCAGCTGGACTCAGTCCATGGACATTGCAAATGCATACCACATACTATAACCACTCAGCTGTTCAGGAGCACCCAGCCTACACTCTGATTGTTTGAATCATGTATTCAAATTGGAGGAGTATATACAATGATTTGTGTGTGATTAGTTAAAACGGGTTGTGTTTGTTCATAATTGTAACTCAGATGAAGATGCACTTCAAGATGACACAGTGGCAACTGTGTCAGTGATTATTTGCATAAAACTGAGCCCTTGCTGAGCTCAGTTGGGAATGCAGGGCTGCAAAGCCAGGTCTTATCCCCAGCCATTAGCCACTCTCACTGTCCCAGCTTTTTGAATCCTTATTTGTGAATAGCCAGTGACTTTCAGTCACTTGGGTTTTGCTGTGGTCAAATTTGAACTGCTGTCCTGAAGGCTACCACTCACCAACACTGATATTCTCACCTTGTCAGTCTCACAGTGTCTTACAGCGCCAGAGAGGCATGGAGGAGGAGGAGGAGGATGAAGAAGAAGAAGAAGAAGAGGAAGAAGAGGAGGAGATGGATGAATCTGATGTAGAGGGAGGTCAGCACATAAGCAGGCAGTCTTATGCTGCTCAGTACACCCAGATGTACAGATGGCAAAAGTAATAGCCTGTGCATGGAAACATGCACATATACACAGAGTAGATGAAAGCATTGTGTTGTTATAGTACTGTTTATAGTTTCTCCCATTTTGCGATATTAGCAGTGTAACACTGAATGCACTGAAGCTTGTTTTGTTCAGACATAATTGTTCTATTCACTTATAATCAACCCAACAAACTAATGATGGATCGAGTTAATCTGATAAGTTATAGTTTCATTTCAAAATATTTTTTCCAAGTTAGAGATGCAACATAAAACTCACACCTGCAGGTTACTCACTTCATAAAGGACACACCATTTCCTACATTGAAAGAGGACAGAAACAGTGATGTGCAGAATCATCCAATATCAGACTTGTTTGTTTTTATCATGAAGCATGTTCTGAAATGTGGAAAATAAAAACATTTCATCAGATGTTATGGTTTGAGTGGCTTTTCCTTCTTTTTCCAAAGCTTGTAAGTTGATTGCTGTTTTGGAATATCTCAGCTACATTTTTGTGAATACAAGGATGCAACAGAATACATCATCTCAGGTGCTGGCGGCCAGATATGATAAGTTTAGTCAAAAAGAATGACCCAAATGTAGACACAGCTGAAGTTCAAAAATTAAGGGGAGGTTTAATAGATAGCCTTAATATTTAATATTCAATAAGACAAACTCCAGGACATTAGCTACGTTATTTTAAATTAGGCCATAAAATGGAAGCAGTATTTGTCAGGTCTGCTCATCACACTCTGCCTGTTTGTGTTGCTCCTGTACGTTCTATAAGATGCTTTCTGTTTGGTTTCTAGTCCCTGCAAACTTTGCACTGTTAGAGTTTGGACTCTGAGTGGTGACAGGTGTGATGAAGTTATTCATTTTTCTACAATCTGTTGTGGTTTGTGTCCTTCTTCCTGTTTTGTGCTTTTATTTTTGGTTAGACTTCCTGTTTTATGTCGGCTTACCTGCCCCAGCTTTACCCTGGTTCACAATCACCATTCATGGTTTCTACCTACTGTTCATTATTCTCTGGTCTCCTGTCTATATATCCTCCTTCCTTCCCTCAGTTTGGCTACTGGTTCATTTTGTCTCCACACCTTGTTGCCCCTGTCGTCTGTTTGTCACTTTCCGATCACCACACCCTGCCCGTTCGCGTCCATTGTGGATTTTCAGTTTGTGCTTTCAGGTTTGTTTGAGGTTTTTTGTTTGTGTGTTTTTTTTTTTATTGAAACAAAGAAACATTAACAAAACAGTACCGAACATGGGAGACAAGACAACAGTTGCATGACATTACAAAAGGATATAGAGTGTTTAACGAGGTGTGGTTTTGAGTTCTTTGGCCTTGCTCCCTGACTGAACTGTTGTTGTTGTAAGTTTCTGTCCACGTTCTTTACTTTTGTCAGGTTGAGCCTCGTGTTTTTGCCCTAGTCCTATGTTGCACCCTTTCATTAAAAAGTCTTTTCAAGTAACTCCTTGGCCCTTGTGTCTGCTCCTTGGGTCCTACCTCACCTTTAAATCCTAACAGTATTCCAGCCTTTTAGCAGGTGTCTATTTTGTTTTGTCCATTACTGGTCATTGGCAGGAGCTAATGACCGATCCACTTTTTTTCAGTATCCCAGTGTGCACATGAAATCAGCCAAACACCTCTGTCACAACAAGCAGCCTGTGTTCCTGTTATCCTCCAGCTATTCCACTGCAGCTGACAGGAGCTGGAAGGTATGGGATAGACAGCAGATAGATGGTACACTGTGGATTTGAGCCTCTTTCAGGAACTGTTTGGGGGTTTAGTGTGTACATGATGCCTTGTTCAGATGTTTGTTTTTTTCTTATGTAGAGTAAATCAAAATTGGCCCTTGTGACTGACAGCATTATTATTTTGCTGTATTTGCCTTTGAATGTTTATTTTGAACATTCAACAGTGAAAGATACTTTTGTACCCATTTTCAGATTTTTAATGACTGCCTTACAATGTCTTAAGTCAAAATCAAAATATGATCAATATTGTGACCTATGGAATCATGTCCTTTGAGGAATCCTTCTGTAAAGGTTTACTGTGTGGAGAGTTAATACCTCATAGCCTTTTATAGCCACATATAACTAACCAATATTATATGTACAATAGATTATAAACTGAGTTTATTCTTAAAAACAAGAGTTTGAAGTATGTAGCATGAAAGCTTAAGTAAAATTATGATTCACTGTCACACTGATTGCAAGACAAAATGCCCACCTTTGACCTTGTTCAGGAATAAGCGGTATAGATAATGGATGGATATCACACTGATTTGTGCTTTTTTTTTTTTTTTTTTAAAGAAGGCTCCTGTATGGTGGCTCTGAGGCGCATTATTGAAATTTTCTTCCATTAAAAAAAATGCAGACCGAGAAAAAGAAGTCTAGTCTGACAAAAGAAAACAATGCCTTGTGTGGAGTGTTTTTTGTTTGTTTGTTTGTTTTTTGTATACTAATTCAGTAGTCAGGACCACGCCTGAGAGGAAAAGGGGGATGTGCTTATGTGGAACCTTGTGCTGATACTGCTTAGTGGATGTTAGAGCATTTTGGGGGAAGGCTTCAGGAAATTATGCAGGGAAGAAGTCTTCCAACAGCAGGAAGGAAGAGGAGAGGTAGAGGGGGGTAGGAAGGAACAGGAAGGAAGGACAGAGGAGCATGGGATAGACCACGAGGGTGGGATAGTTTTATGAGAAACTAAAGCAGTCTGCAGGTAGAGAGAAGTATTTATAGGCAGGTGCCAGCTCCTGAATCACTGATGTTCATCTTCATTTCTGCCACTTCCACTTACATCTTAAACAACCAAAGAGGGGAAGGTCAGAAGAACAAAATTTGAAAAAGGACCACACTGCAAGAGCAGAGCAAAGTTTTGAGGGGAATTTTTAAAAATCTAATTTTTGGTGCAAAAACTGATTAATTCCCAGCGTTATTCTTGTAATTACAGTTAATCTCTTGGATCAGTTAAATTTGAGGTAAAAACAGGATTAACCCAGGAAACTGAGCCTAAAATCAGTTTTTTGGCACAATGGAAGCACATACAGTGCACTTTGTCACAGCTGACCATTTTAAAAATGTTGCTGCATTTTATAATACAAATAGACATGTATTGTTCTCTTTAATTTTCATACATTATGTCAATACATTAGCTGAGTCTTGAATCTTTCTTGAATTATAAGCCATCAGCCCTTGTTTAACGTCCACCAAATTCAATTTGTCAATTCTGGGACTTTATTACATCACTAGGCAAACCAGTTGACATCAACACCAAATAGGAGTCGCTTACTCTACTCCAGTGAGGAGGGCTAAAGAGGAAGTGCACAAAAACCTTTTATTGAGGTTTGCCACAGAAAAAGAATTTGGTGATTAGACCCTGCTGAAGAGTACTGCTTCAAAAGACCAGAGCAGAAAGGAAATAAGAACTAAAGGAAATAAGAACTGGGTGATCGAAGGCCAGAAGGATGGAGTTTTAGCCTGAGATAAAGCTAAGGGCCGCTGGAGGTCAGAGAAATACATGCTTTATAAACTGGCAAAGTGCAAAAATGGATAAGGGCCATGGGATGCTGGAAGGATGGGGTGTAACCTGTGGATGAAGCCAGAGGCCAAAGGGCTAAAGTGGGTTAATAGTGAAATACAGTAGTCTGTGCATGAAATAACCACCAGCTGCTATATACAGTACTTACCAGAAGGGACTTCAGAGACTTCTGAATGGAGAGAATGGCATTAGAGTAAGGCTGGATGTAAGGTATTGAAAAGTTTTTACATAGCTGCACACCTTTTGGCAAAATTCACTGTACTGAATGAAAAAAAATGGTACTCAAGTGATTCATGTAAAACAGAATGTTCTTAATTGGGAGGTGTGGTGTGGTGGGGCAGATGTGCGTCACCACTTGTTATGCAAACAGTTTTTGTATTTAATATATTGCTGTTTTACTAAGCTAGAGAATGTTAGCCTGTCCACACTGAGCTAACTTCAGCTTTATTTGACCCAACACCAGCAACAAACAATTAAGTCACTGTTGTATTCGTTCTCTATGGGACACAACAGTGTATGATGGGCATCAGCAAACTGACATCTGTTGTTTGTTTTTTGTTTTTTTTGTAAATTACTGCACAGTGGCAGCATCCTAGTGCAGTGGCTTTATTCTCCAGATGTTTTATCACACTCACTCACAGCTGCTGTCCCCTGATTGCTACTTCTGTCTGTATAGTGCATCCAATGTGCGCTAGAAAGTGTACTTAAGTTACAGAGATAACAAATGTGTTTCATTACTATTAATGACTGCAGTGGATAGGGGGTGGTATAGTCACTTGAGTTTGCAGCTATGATCTCCCCACATTTCCTCATTATCTTTGCAGAGCAGTAAAAAAAAAAAAAGCAAAATAAATCAAATAATAACCTAATAATAATAACCACCCCAACTGACAACCACATTTGTCAGCTTAGGAAGGTTTAATATTCCATGTTGTCAGAAGCTAAAACATTTGAACATAAAGGTAAAAGGAGTACATTTCAGTGAATGCACTTACAGGGTGATATCACTGGGATGCATTGTTCTGAAATGAGATTATACCGGAGACCAGGTTCACAGAGCAGGAATACTGGTGATCAGAAGTACAGGTGCACAGAAGCTCTCTCTGTGTGTGTGTGTGATGCTGTCAACCTATAGCACTATGAAACCTCCCGAATCTGACTAAATATAGCAGGGTTCTTCATATATATATATAAAAAATTGTTCACAGTAATTTTGTTCATCACATCCATGCATGTCATTATAAGTCATCCATGATGCATTTCAAACAGAACTTACAAAAAGAAAGCAAAATGAGCAGGTTGTAATTTTACGAATGCAGAGTCGAGGGTCAGACTTTCGTGTTGCTGGAGTGTGTGCATCACTGCTGTTTGTTCAAATCAAAAAACCCTTAATCTCTGCTGACTTTCTTTTGGCTACCTTTTATGCCTTTTATCAAGTGTTCAAATATCAATCACAAAACCACAAATGTACCAGAGAAATGCATGACCAAATCCCGGGGGATGGAGATCACAAACCACTTAAAAAACCCCACCTGAAATGATTCGGAAATTATATATTTGCACACAGAGGAGGACAAGAAGTTTACCAGTCACTGCTGGCCCAGCTCAGTTCTCCATTTTTTTCACAAGCTGACATAGAATAAACAAATACAAAAACAAACCATCTTGCACTGTGAACAACTGGCATCTGTCAAATAAAATAGAACAGTGAAAATGAATGACACGGCTTTGTTGACAGGCAACGTCTTCACAGAGGCAGCACAGTCAGGAGTCCCACGCTCACTTGCATCAGTACAGTAGTCGTATTAGTACCAATCTGCACTTTGTTGAAGGTATAGTGGTAAAAGAAAAGTCCACTTTCACTGTTTTACTCAGTGTCTCAGGGAGACCATTCTAGTCTGATTGTTAACCAACCTATAAAGTGCTTCGAAAAATAATCTCCCCATTATAATCATCGTCATGTTTACAATAAATCACTACTATATATCAGTTAGGGCAATGTTATGAGTAGGAAAGAAAAGAGAAGAACAGTTAAAAATGGGTCTATTCAGGCACGAGCAGAGAGCTCTTCTCTTTCTCCTCCTGTTCCTTCTCTTCACAGCTTTTTTTTATTTTCTTTTTCGTTTTCACTTTTTTATTTCTTGAAGGGTGTCAGTCTGCCAATGTTGTGCCAGAAGGTGGAGGTTTTGCGCTTCGGCTCAGCCAGCATGAAGACTTGCTGCTGGGGCAAAGCGGTGGGGAGGGAGGGGTGTTTCTGTCGCAGGAGGAAGTCGTAGTAGGGTCTGGTCACCACTGAGGAGGAGGTAAACAGAAAATATCATTACTTATGATGTCATGCACAGATGAGAAGACAGGACACATACATTTATTCAGAGGCCTAAAACTCTTACTATCTTAAATGTCCAAGTGGACATTTGTGCCAAATGTAAAGACATTCCCTCAAGGCATTTTTGAGATATCGTGTTCACAACAATGGGCCGACCAGAAGGACAACCTGATAACATAATGCCTCCAACCATGACTGACACTAGCGCAACGGCATAATAAAAGAAAATGACATTTAAATAACTGGAAGAAACCTGTACAATGGTACAAGCACTACACCGAGACTCAGGTACTAGCACTTTGTGTCAGTTATTTGCCATTCTCTGTACCCTTCAGGTGCATACAGTACCTTTGGGTTTCCCAGCTGGATAGCTTTTGCAAGCATTCAGCATGGCCTGTTTCTTCTGGACCTCAGTGAGAGAAAAGCCTGAGAATAGAAAAAGAAGTAGTATCACTATGAAGCTTTAAGTGCATCAAATTAAAACTGATAAACTCTGCCTTTCTGTCTCAGACAGTTTTTTTATTTTGGCTTTCTATTTGTTTTTTAGTGAAACTATGCCATTAATCTACTTGTACCAAAATGATGGCACTGAGGTTTCTGTACAGTAATAAATCATTTGTTCTGATTAAGTGCTAGCAAGTACATAAGATTTAATTTAATAAATTAAATAAATCTAGCCCACAGGAAATGTGTCGAGGCCATGAGGAGATTCACTTCAATTAAAACAGAAAATGCCTACACATAAAAGAGTGAAGCAGTCTGGTAATACAGACCAACAACTCAGTGCACAGACTGGCTGTGTGTAGCTGAGGAGGTTGAAGTAGGATGACTGACAATCTGCTTGTCTATTCTTTGGATCTCTAAGATAGAAATCCTTTTACTGCTGGCAATTCCACATTCCCTGACACACTGCCAAGTGAGGATATTAAAATAGTATTTCAGATTTAACAGAGGGGAAATAAAAGGGAATATGAATTATATTACAAGTTTATGGAAACAGCTCTGTGGTTTGCAGAGAAGAAAGGGTGGATGAGAGGTTACAGACAATGTTATCTAAGCAGACGTTCACAGTTTTAATCTCTGATTACAGGCTAACGATGGATCATCTGACTAAAAGGGCAAACTTTAAATACAGTTATTTTCCTTTGAGGTGAACATCTGACCTGTCTCGCGGTCGTGTTGGACCTGCCTCCTCTCGTCAGTGAAGGCTCGAAGCCAACGCTGTTTCTGCTCTGGCTTCTTGGCACACAGGAGGTGGACCTTATCACCAGCCAGTGAGCGCAGCTTCAGGGCATTCTTCACACTAACGTTGAAGTCCTTCTCCTTGCCATCCTCCACGTCTATCACCTCCATGTAGTCCATGTCCATGCGACCCTTGTAATACAGCATGTCCCGGCGCAGGAGGTCCTGTGATGAGAAGAACAGATTAAGAAGTAAGTCATCAGTCAGATCTGCATAGTCATACATTTGTGCCAGTACCACTTAAAGCAAGCATACTCTGCTCTGATCAAGTCTGGGTGGGGTCAGCATGTGTGATTAAAATCCACTCACTCTAAAATACAGTGTAAAATGCTGAGGTACCTTTTTGCAGTACACCATCTGATGGTCAAAGAGGAAGAACATTCTCTGCTGACTCTTGGCCTGAGGCTGGGACAGCTTCGTCAGCTCACCTGAAAAGATGAGCTCAGAGCTTCTGCTGAGAACGTCCTCACCCTGCATGGATCCAAACACACACACACATTTGTTTTCATTCCTCGTGATGACTTTTCACTGACTTAGCTTCATTTCCTGGAGACTTAACCTAACCTTAACCATAACCACTACCCTAACCTTAAACTAAGTCATCACCCTAAGATTCAATGATAGTGAACATTATGAAGAGAGAGGAAATTCCAGAACAAAGATGTGTCGTGCCGCACCTCCCAGTCCTCTATGGAGCTCTGCCAATGGGCTATCTTGTCGATGTTCTCAAGGCGCCGTTTTTTCTCATTGATCAGCCTGGCCACGTTTTTCATGGCGTTTAAGGCCGCCTCCACATCTCTGTAGTCTCTAAAGATCAGAAAATGACATGACGTGTGACGGACAAGTCTAGTGATATCAATATTTTTCTTACAGCAGCAAATTCTAAAACCAAGTTCAAAATGGGATGATTTGCATCATTCGGGAAAGGACCACCCTTCGTGCCTTTTGAATTATATTCAAAGCTTTAAAAAAACTTTAAGTTTTCCCTCATGTAGTTATACATTTTTAAAATTGTGTCATTCAGGTAATTTTCACATAAACTCTCTTATAGTAGATCAACATTGGTTCAGGCGATTCTAACCCACGTGCAAGTGTGTGCAGCTCTTGCTCCACGCTTCGCCATACAGTCTTGGGACATTCTGCATCCGTGAGGCATCAAAAAAACTAAAATGTTTTCTATATTACTAATGATTGTGTGTGTTCTTACTTTATAAGACAAGATCTATGGTAATGACCCAGTAAGCAGACACAACTTGGTTTAGGTTTATCATATTTGGTGGTTACATAAGCAAGTCTGTAAAAATATTTAAGATAAAACACTCAAAACATGGTGTGCAACATGTTCTAATCTGTCAAAGGTGTGACCACACTTCATGAAAACTTTTCTTTGTTGATCACAATCATGTGACTTTTCCTTAAACATTTTATCTGTAAATTTGAAAATCCATCGCATCACTTCTCATCAATGCATTATCATGTACTGATCACCAGCGCACTAATTAATAGTCATTAAGTTTCACAGATCATTCATTTCAATGACTTATATGTACTGTAGCTCAATTTTTAACATGATATAAATATTTTATGAAGATCTGAAAGTTTAAGGGTATTTTTAACTTAAAAAAATAAATGTACAGCTTTTTCTAGAGCTTTCAACTACATCTAATTTTCTATTGGTCGACAGACTGTTTGACTGAAGGCTCTGGATATCCAGTCAGTAGACCCTGATTTAAACTCTAATTTTTTAAATTAGAATTTCCAAGGCAAAAAAATTAACTTTCAAATTCAAAGATATAGATATTGACATCATCCTACCCTGTGCTGGCCTATCTCTAGAGAAAAAAATAAAAGTGATGGTTTGTTTTGACATCTACATATCCATAGACCAGTCACCTGTGCTGTGGGTTGGTGTATTTGAGCAGCTCAGCAAGCTGCAGTGGGTACTTGCAGATCTTCTGAACTGGAGTGAGCAGGAAGCCGTCCAAGGAAATGTCGATCATCTTCTGGAGCAGTCGACAGGCCTCGAAGAAGAACACATACTTGTTGACTTTCATCAGCTTAGAGATCTGCACGCAGGCGTTGGGGTGATTGTTGCAATACTCAGAATAGATCTGGAAATCTGTTTGCTACACATAAAAGACAACAAAAGAATAGGTCAGAAGCAAGACAGCAGTTAACCAAGTGTTTAAAAAAGTACAGTATGCTCTCACATTACTCTTAGAAAGCCATTCACAAGCTATAGTGAACCTGAGGGCTTTAGAGAACAAAACCGAACAAAATCGAAAACAGAAGAGTTTCTCAAAAGGTTTTACAATCAACCAACTGTGGGGTGGTTTCTTTCATTTAGTAACAACAAAAGGAGAAATAATTCTGTTAAAATTCACAAGCAAATTCTCTGGATTTGTTGGATTGAATCTGTGACTCAGCTCACATGCTCGAGAAAGCAGCAGCCAATTTCGCTGAGATGCGGCTGCTCCTTGTTGAACTTTTTCTCCAGGCCTTTCAGAAACTTCCTCTGGAATCGGTAGATGTCTTCAATGTTGCCAAAGATGGTGCGAAGCTGCTCTTCGGTGAACATGTCTGTCCTCTTGCGGCACTGTTTGATGTAACCCTGAGAGAAACAGAAACAGGATCAGAACCTATTGTGCAGATTTAAAAGAAATACAAACAACAAAACACAAGATTTAAATAAATATAATGGTAAGCTGTTTACTGGCTCCAGTCCAAAGTTTGGACACTTTCCCATTGAATTGAATGAAAAAGTGATTCAGAACCTTTGACTGGTGGTGTACATCTTTGCATTCTTTATAATAACAGTCACTTTTTGGATAATTTTGTATCATCCTTGGCATTTTTGCATGTGGTCTGATCTCCTGTTTCTCCTTATGACATCGACTATACAGTACTAAACTAAAGCTTAAGTATTCATAACAGTGGCTTGCCAATCAGAAAAGAGTGTTTAACATGGTTATGGTAAAGAAATGGGTTTATTGGAGCTGGTGTATAACAGTGTATAAACCTAACTATAAATTACTTAATACATATCTGACATCCTGTTTTCACTTGATCTAATGCAGACCTCACAGATGTCTTTCAGGTGCTTGATGTAGTCTCTCTCTGTGCTCATGATCTCATTGATGACATTGCTCCTCATTTGCTCTTTGCAGGGTAAACCAGGTCCCAACAATAAGCCCAGGCCTGCTCGGTCCTCCTCTCGAGTCTGCGCCTCCTCCAGGTGGGCCAGATACTCCTCCATGGGCTCGTCCTGGTTGACACGCAACTGAGGAGAACACACGTGTGTATTCAATTCTCTCTTCTTCTTACTTTAAACTCCTGGTCAACAACACAGAATGCTTATGAGCCATGTCTTAATGAGGATCCACTAAAGGAAAAAACCTGCCCTAATCTTAGATATTACAGAAATACTTAGAACAGTTTGCCAGTGTTGCAGTCATTAATGAAACAGTGTGAATCAAAGCCATATAGCTGGTCATTTCTGCCTGCTCAGAGTGCATCTCACCCGCACAAAGCTAGCAGGGAACCAGCCCTCGCTGTCCATGATGCGACCCCACCACCACTCCTTGTTGGTGGCATCCACTACTTCGATGACGTCACCAGCCTTGAAGCCGAGCTCCTGGTCGTCCATGGTGACATGGTCCCAGAGCGCCTCAGCGTACACCACACTGCCATCACTGATCAGCTGCAGGAAACGCCACAGAAGGGACATTAGGTCAGCTTTCTATTTGCTGTATTTCCAGTTGAAGCACATAAAATAACATGATACCATAAGGACTTGCCACAAGATGTGTTGTAACGTCATGGCTGCAACAGGGAGCACTGTTAGTAGCACAGTTAATATCAAAAATCAACTACTAGCCACAAAATGATGAAGGGTGGGGATTGCTGCTGTAACATGGCGCAGTTTCAGTGCAACATATTCATCAAGTTATCTTCTTCTGCTTCTGTTTTCCACAGGTTGACAAATAATGTGGTGCTTGACACCAACAGGTGAGGCTCAAGAACTGTTCATGTTCTGCTCTGATGTCTTGTCTCAAAATTGGATGTAACACACATCATCTATTAAAGGGGCAGTCTGCTAATTTTACACAGAAGTCAGTTTTACCATAAAGGTTAGTCCTGCACCATCTGACAAAACAGGCTCTGGAAGAGCTTTGTCAAGTCTGTGAAAAAACAAATGGTGATACATACAGTAGCAATGCCATCAGGGTTGTCTCAGCATAGGTTTGGAGATGCCACATTTGTACCCAAAAACCTCCTTTAGGAATCAGAGGTGTGGAATATCACAGATGTGGGTGTTTAGCCAACAGGGTGAGAGCATTCTGTGTCAGATACCTAGTGTACAATGGGGTTTTGAGGTTCCCTTTTCAAACAGCTGCATCCTTTGGCCAAAATCGACAGCAACGGTGAACCAAAACAGTTAAACCGTGGGCTGGATAGTAAAACAAATAGCTGAAACCCACTATAAAGCTCCGTAAACCCAGGGAAAGCTGCAGATTCAGACAATACATCTCTGTAGATTTATCATTACAGGTGTCCCCTTTAACATCGCCAGGTTATTTCACATTGTTATTTGATTCATTGTAATTATAAAAACATGGATTTTTACAGCTTTGTTTTGAATAATGTCTGGAGGGAAAGTGTGGCTCTACAGTTAAATATGTAACAGAATTAAGAAGTTGATTCCAGTATAGCAAATAAAACAAATAAATGCATGAATAAACGACGCATATCTGTGGCATTTTTTAACATTTGCATGATGATGTTATGAGATTAGACCAACACTGTAGGTCATTCTGTAGCATTGTAAAGTGCTAGTTTGCCTTCTAGCTTTATTGTTCAGCTCTGTCAAAGCTGGATGGAGATAGAGAAAAGAGCATGTGAGAGACAGAGGCATAAACAGAGTGAGATCAAAAAGAGATGGAGCCAGCGTTATTGATGGAGACGATGCAGTGATCATATTTCACACCACCAGTTCCACTGTGTCAACATGGCCTCAGGCTCCACAGAGGCCATCCATTCAGAACCATTTCAGGTTGCCTGGAAGCCTTTCTTTGCTTTGTGTAACACCCTCTATGGTGACATTTCTCAACGGGTTGCAAGCGAGAGCAGACGTCTTTACTGCTCCTCTTGTCTGTTCTACGATTTTTCACATCTTACATTTTCAAGTCTTTGAACAAATTCTACAACTATTAAAATGCCTCCAAAAGGGAAAAGAGCTAATAAACCAGAAGTGAACAAGGATGTTGAGGCGGAAGAGGATTATATTTCAGCGTACGTGGAGTGCCTCAGGGCTCTGTTTTGGGACCTAAACTGTTTATATTATACATCAATGATATATGTAAGGTTTCTGAAACTGTTAAAATGGTTTTGTTTGCTGATGATACTACCATTTGGGCATCTGATGAAAACTTACGGCAACTCTCGGTAAGGGTTTCAGAGGAATTTGTGAAGATAAAGAAATGGTGTGATAGTAATTTACTATCTTTGAATTTGGAGAAAACTAAATATATGGTATTTGGGAACCGTAGACCACATAATGAACTTCAATTGAGAATGCGGGGTGCTAATATCGAATGAGTGTATGAAATCAAATTTTTGGGTGTCATGGTTGACGACAGATTATCCTGGAAATCTCATATCAGTTATGTTCAGCATAAAATAGCTAAAAATATATCGATATTGGCAAGGGTTAGATATATGCTGGACGTTAAAGCATTGCGTATTTTGTATTCTTCATTGATTTTGCCATATTTGGAGTATGGCGTGGAAAACTGGGGAAATACATACAAAAGCTCACTTCAACCATTGTACATATTACAGAAGAGAGCGATAAGAGTTGTGCACAAGATGGGGTATAGGGATCACACAAATGCAGTTTTCATACAGTCCAAATTGTTAAAATTCTTTGATTT